GCGGAAAGGACTCGACGTATAGCATGTGTTTGTGTGCGAAGAGTGGCCACGAATTGGTCGGTTTGGCTAATCTGGTGCCGAAGTCGGCCAAAGAGGAGGACTCCTATATGTATCAGACGGTTGGCCATGAGTTTCTCGATCTGTACGCCGAAGCCATGGCTTTACCACTGTTTCGGCGGACAATAAGTGGCAAACCATTGAATACGGAAATGGATTACAACGAACTCGACGGCGACGAAGTGGAGGATCTGTTCCAGTTGTTGGCCGACATCAAGAAAGAGATGCCCTTTGAGGGCATATCAGTCGGCGCTATACTCTCGACGTACCAGAAGTTGAGAGTCGAGAACGTATGCCAACGGCTGGGCGTTGAGATGTTGGCACCGATTTGGGCCAAAGAACAGACTCAGCTCCTGAAGGATATGATTGCTTCCCAAATGAACGCTATTATAGTGAAGGTTGCGGTGATTGGTTTGGACGCAACCCACTTATCCAAACCTATTGACCAAATGCTACCCATTCTGGAAGAGCTGAACCAAAAATATGGGATTAATGTTTGCGGCGAAGGCGGAGAGTATGAGACAATCACTTTGGACTGTCCTCTATTCAAGAAGAAGATTGTTTTGTTAGTTATTATTGCGATTATTATGTCATTTAATTGACTAAATATTGAATTTGTTTTCCAGAGACGACTTTGAGATAATAACCCACTCTAACGATGCGTTCGCAAAGGTTTCATATCTCAGACCAACTAAACTCCATTTGGAGGACAAGAACTGATTACTTGTTTACATATCCATATATTTTATAGTAAATTTTATTTTATACAATAATTGTGGAACTTTTATTAAAATAATGTATTTAAAGGTATTATAAAACTATTTATTACTGTTTTAGTGAATCTAATTAAAATGGTATTCAATATTCCGGTGATAATGTTTTCCTATGATTTTATACCCATTTGTTTGTTTGTTTTGTAAATTGTATTAATAAATATACTGTTATAGATTGAATTGGTGACCAAATGATCATGTTCATTTCAAGTGCCCACACTTTCAAAACCAAGTAAAGGTTTAGGAATAAAGGTTTGTTGTCTGTAGTCATAGTAACTGTTGAGCACATGTTTGAGTTGTTTTGCATTTTGAAATGCATTCACAAAATAGTGATTAAATTGTCATTTCATTTATTAATCATTTGTTTAATATATTTATTGAAATAATGAGTGAAACGAAAGTGAATTCAGATTTACTTAAATGTGAGAATCATTTCTATAGAGAAAGCAATGAAATAACAAATTCATTGCTAATCACGAAAAAAGCCCAAAAAAGTGCCATTAATTGCAACCAAAAGCCACTGAAAACCGAAAAGATTTCTTCAAACGGTAATTGAGTTTTAATTTTAGCACTCATTTAATGATTGTTTTGGTCTTTCATTTGAATCCAGTGTTGAGTCGAGCGAAAGACTTCTTGCAGATGACTAAAGACAAACCAATCGCTGAACACACGTGTGATTTAGTGGGCAGTGAAGAGACCAACGATGAGACCAATGAGTGTCCAAATGATGGCAAACCAGTGGTTGAAATGGATTTCGTTTTGTTTGCAAACAAAGATCACTCCGACAGTGAAGAAGAGACCGACGATTCCAGTGAATCAAGTGATGACTCCGATGACGATGAAGACGACGATTGTGAACAACAGTCCGATAATACAGACAAATGTGTCACTAAATGATTAAATTAAGTTTTATGTAATTATTTTAAGTCATTCTTTGTCATTAATGAGCACTTTTAGAGCATTACCTCAATTGACATTATATTTGATATTTATTTTTAGAAATAAACAAAAATATTATTATTAGAGATTTTTATGTTAAGTATTTTACATAATAAATCAATGTATTCATCACATAATTAAGTAAATGTTTTATTAATAAAAATATATTTAATTAAGTCGATAAAGTGGACGATATTATCCCTGATTTGTCTTGGATTATGGCTTGTGTTGAATCACTTGTAAGAATTTTGGTATGACTTCTATTGATTTGGTTTTAATTGAATTCCTAAATAAAAAAACAAAAATATTATAATTTAATAAAATATACCAATAATTTGTGGAAAATAAGACGGAACTCATTATCAAACACTTTAACCACTCTTTGCAATACAAACATAATTAAGAGCAAAATTAGCCAAAATGTGATACAAATGATATGGAAATTGGCGTTTGATTTGTCGATATTGTAATCATTTAAATGATTAAAATAACTATTAATGCATTTATAATACATTTAAATTAATTCAATTTAGACGGCATTTAAATATTACACTAAAATGTAATGTTTGGCTAAAGAACGCAATTTCTATGAGAAAATTATTTATTTTTATTTGAAATAAATTAGTTTTTTTCCAATAAT